AAAATTGAATCATTTATTTATTGTTTAATTCGAATCTTATCTAAAATTCTCAAAAACCTTCAACATATCAAATAGTTACAAGAAATACAAAATGCAAAGAAAAATTTTAAAAAAAGAAATTGAAAAGAAAAATTTAAAAAAAAGCAATTGAAAAGAAAAGTTTAAAAAAAAAAAGAAATTGAAAAGATGCTATTAGCTGCAAAAATTGTTTTTCAAAANAAAAAAAAAAAATATTTTAGCAAAAAAGTTTAACAGAAATAAATTTTAGCATTTATTAAAAGAAAAATTTTAACAAAAATTGTACAAAATTTCAAAAAAAGGAACGATTATATATTTTGATTTTATGAGTTAAATGTAGAAAAAAAATTTTGTAACGTTTGAGCATTTCAATTGCATTAAATAATTGCATCATTATATAACGTAATATTAATCATTTCTTTACTGCGGAAATTTGAAAAGAAAAAAAAAATAATAAAATTAGATATATCTGTTTGAGAGAGATAATTTATGTCATCTTTAAATTTTTAACTGCTATTATCAGCTAATCACCAAATAGTGTATTTTTTTGGTGATATCAAAATGATATGTTAGGATGTTAGTGATTTATTGATGATTATTATTATCGTTTTAATTTTAACTTCGTTTTAATTTTAACCTATTATTATAATTTAATCAATTAAGTTATTTGCAAATGGTGGCAGAATGATAATTGGAAATGATTGAAAATCAAACTTTTTTTGTAAAAAATTCGCATTATTTGTTATTAAACTATTTCATTAATTCATGCATTAGATTCCCTCATCGAATTATTTTCCTTCCACAACAGTTATTAAATTAAATTTTATATCGTTGTGCAGTAATAATTTGCCAATAAGCAACAAAGTTTGAAGAAAATAAAAGTAAATTTGATAAGACTTTTTATTATTTTATTATAATTATCTTTTATTTTCAATTTTTTAACCCATAAGTATTTTGGTTAACTAATCAAATTCGATGTATTTTTTTAAAAATTCATATTTCATTTCAATTAGTAAAACATTTGGTCATCTTTGCTCATTCTCTTTTAATGCTAAATCGTAATTAATTATCATCAGCAATTATCATCAGCGAATCATTACTAAAACAATTATTTACCATTGATATAATAAATTCATTTTTCTTCGCACAAAATTTATACCAATCGATTGATTGAAAGCAAAAAATCGCATTAGCAAATTTTATAAGTAATATTTAATAATTTAAATAAGTCCATAATTTTTAGCATATATGAATAGAATTATCCGGCAAAAACTTCACCATATTTTGGTATAAATTAAAAGATAAGTTCACTTGATACATAAATTAGGTATTTATTTAAAATTTGGTAATATGCAAAATAATTGTGTAATTGCTAATTATTGATAGTTTATTGATGTGGAGGAGTGAATGAATACTTCACATCATAAAATGAGTTAATGAGGAGTGTAAAATATTTCAAATTTATTTTGGAAAGACAGACAGATTTACAAGATCCCATAATTTGAATTGAACAGATATCGGAATATTTTCGCTAATAGGAATGATAATTGAGAAAAAATAGATGTGAATGAATGAATGAATAGTTTGGAGTAGTTTAAGTTTATTTGAAGTTTTTTAAATTGCTAAGATTATTAATCAATTTCAAACCAAACCTTCCTAAAAATTCAAATCGATGAAGCTATTTTTACCAATACATTTCGGAAATTAAAAAATGGTATGAATCGATGATGTAAAAAGTATTCAGATCTGATCAGTTTCTTTTCAGTTCAGGTAGGAATTCACAGATAAATTATCATTCATATTTTGAGGTGTATAAATTTGTTGCTGACGCATGTCTTCACTAAATTATCAACCGTTTATTATATTTATCAGCAAAAAAAATTAATCACAAAACCAACGAAATGATGAAATATTCGAATAAGTATGAAAATCCAAGCATACAACGAAAAAAAAAAGAACGTGATAAGTTTAGCTTCTGCTTTTCATTTAATTTCAGAAAATATGCTGCCTACAGGAAAAGTTTCCAATTAATTAATTAGAGTGATCGGATCGAAATTTTGCAGTAAATTAGATGCATAAGATATGAGTGCTAATAAGTGAGTAATATAACTTCAGAAAATGATTTTGATCCAAAAAAAAAAAATTTTTTTTTTCTTTCTTCATAATTCGTGGGGAAAATTTTATAATCTGCAACTGAAATAAGAGAAAATTGTTTGCAGAATTCCGATCAAAAATTAATTACCCTAATTATATGGCGTAAGCATTAAATTGAGAAGAAAATTTTGATTGCAAGCTAATTTCTGTACAAAAAAATAAACATTCAAAAAGAAAACATTTACAGAATCCCGATCAAATTAAATAATAAAAAAATTTTTTTTTTTTTGAAATGATATGTTTACGATTAAGTGTCGCCATCAATATTGCTCATGAAATGATTAGCAACGATAAATATATTAGCAATAAACCAATCGATATCTATTGTTAATAGTTCATGAACAACTAAATTATTGAAATAGTAAACAGCTAATGATTTGACGTGCATGACGAATACATTTTAATTAAAAATTAATTTATTCTTAATTGCAGTTTTAATTAAGAATTGATTAAGAATTTAATTTAGCTTAATATTAAAAAAACAAAAAAAAATTTAATGCTGCACAAGAAAATAAACGAATATTATTATTAAACTTATCAAAAATATTTGAACTTTTTTCTACTATTAATGGTATTAAAAGCTCTAGAAAAATGTTAATTCAATAAATTGAATAAAAAAAAAGAAAACTGAAAATTGTATCGGTCAATTATTTACTTATACAATTTTCCGACAAATATGCTAACGGATCATTTTTTTTTCTTCCTTGTCCATTATGATTCCGATCATCCATAATATTCATTGATTGATTGCTAACAATTTGATAGATATTGTTGACATTTTGGAGAAGATCGGAGCATACATCAAATTACGATGTATTTTTTGAATTAATGAAATGGAAATTTTTCACAGAATCATAGATGCCATTCCACCATATAAATCAATATTAATTGATTTATTGATCAGTTATTTTAATCCAGCATTTGATATATATATATAGCTAAAAGCAAAAATTATTTTACATGAACGAATGGATTGCACGATCAAAAGATAAAATGTAAATTGATATTTGATAATAAATATATTCCGGATTAAGAAATAACATCGGGATGGATAATCAAAGTTTCCAATCAATTTCATCCCAGTCAACGATTCGTTTTATTATTATGATATTCTATTAAATTTTATTAAGAATGGAACTAATAATTAATTAAGATATTACCTGGAAAATTAACAATCCATTTCGAAAGAATTATTTGTCGATTAAAAAGAAAAAAAAATATGCAGCCATTTTACAAATTTAAAATATGAATTTTATTGAAATGGATGAAGTTCAAAGGAAGCATAAAATGAAAAGAAAAAAAAAATTGAAAAGTTGTGAAAAAGATTTTGTAAACAGTAAAACAAATCTACTCAAATTGTTTAATTCGATGTAAAGAGGCAACAGAGAGCGGTTGCTGTTTGTTATGCGACTTTACAACTTTTAAACAGAGACATTTGAGCTCGTTAGCTAATTGGTAAAAAAAAAAACAATTTGAACAATATAATGGAAATGTCTTAATGCAATAATGATTAATATGAAATAATCTTATCGGTGATCGTTATGATAAGGTAAGATGTTATTTTAAGCATTATTAAAATTGTTCCTCCAAACTATGCCCAATCATACAATTACCCAACTGTTCTAATTATTACATTATTACTACAAATAAGAAATTGAATTATATATAAATATAATGAAATGAATAAAAAATTTGAATTCATGATGAGCTATTAGTATCAGCTGTGACAATATTTATTTTGTGCACGCATACACATATACAGAGAAAGAGAGAGAGGGGGAGAGGAAAAGAGAGAGAGAGAGAGAGAGAGAGAGAG